GTTTCACCCAGCTAGAACTGAAAGCAGTTTTGGGGGACAAGGTCAATCAAGTTTAAACATCACACACATTACACATCAGGTCCTATACTCAGTATATATCTTGCATCTATATTATGAACATGGACCTTGTCATCGACAATCACTTGTTTCAATCCAACTTCTTTCGTACTGCGAATCCAATTGCATTCAGACTATGCATTGAAAACAACAAAACTACATGTATATTGGCTATAGTCTGCTTGTTACTTTAATTTTTTTTTTACATTTATAAGTTTTTATTTGTAATCATAATACATACAGTAAGCAGAATACACTGCATACATATACAGACTAATATGCAAGTGCATTCAAGACATACCCCCCGGTAACAATTTGGTGGATTTTCAATTTTGTCTTTGTTCACAGCAATGTTGTATTCAATATGATAGTTATACTTGACTTGGTGACTTGATCATGGTGATCACCATTAGAAATGATAAAATCAGTTGGTATGGCAACAAATCATGAAATATTAGAGCACTCAAGCTAATCACTTTAATATTCAGGAGTGTTTTAATTCCAAGTTATATAATACCAACCAAATTATTTGTATGGATTGATTTTAGAATAAAAGCAGCATGTCTGGTTTCATCACTCGATCTCTGTCAATACTTGAAGCAATAGTGAAAATTACAAACAAGAGAGGCAGCAGTAACGTAAACGCCAGGCATGTGATCGAAATATTGGATGACAACATTAAAAAAGTCTGTGATGTCATCAAGAAATTTAAAGTGAGTTAATTAATTATAATATGCGCCACATGCAATCATTTTCAGAAAGCTGTTATTTTTTTTTTAATTCCCATGTCACATGTCACCTGCTCAAAGCTTCCATGGATAGCCAAAATGAATGAAGAAATAATGTTTTATAAATACAATCAAACAATATCTGTAAATTCTAAATGCATTTGTGGATAAATAATGTTGCGATAGAAAACTATAACGATCAGTGGGACCTTTGATAGTGTACTTTCACTGATTCTAGATAATGACATGGTAGTAATGACACATTTATGCATTTTGAAGATATTTGATGGTATCTATAATTCCGTGTAATCAGCCAAGGCTGAGGGAAAGACACCGACTTGTAGTAATTGCCAATGAATACCTCTTTGATCATCTGTCGGGCTGAATCTTTTATAAATTTTAGTGAAACTTACTCTTGGATTTCTGAAAAATATTGTAGATTTTGTTTATTAGTTTATTAATGTTCATTTGACTTTCATTCTGCTCCAGGGTACAAGTATTGAAAACACCAATTTTGTATTAATTAAGAAATGGTTGAATGTCAAAGGTCATGGTTTAGTGGATTACTTGGAATCTAACATGTCATTACCGATGTCTCCAAGGTATTTAATCAGTTGTATGTGGTGTATGTGTGTTACATGTGTGTGTCTGTGTATGTGTTGGTGCATACAGTTGTGTGTGGTACATGTGTGTGTGTGGTGTATGTGTTGGTGCATACAGTTGTGTGTGGTACATGTGTGTGTGTGGTGTATGTGTTGGTGCATACAGTTGTGTGTGGTACATGTGTGTGTGTGGTGTATGTGTTGGTGCATACAGTTGTGTGTGGT